CTAGGCACTAGTATACAATGGATGGCATCATGAATGAAGCCATCCATTGTATACAACTGTCATGTGACCTGCTGTGATTGGTCACAGCAGGTCACATGGTACCAGCAACGGGAGCCGGTACTCGGATCTGTCATCGGCCGTGTCCGAGGTGCACGGCCGGTGACAGATCGCATTGCTGCGCCGCTCTGCATTAGCGCAAACTGCGCATGTGCGGGAGCACGCCAAATGGCGTGCACCCGGAGTGCAGAGACACATTGGCCGGGCGGCTAATGGTTAAAGTGGTTGTAAACCTCAGACATGAATTTTGAACAAAGCATATCCCTCTATACTGTGTACTTGTCTCAACTAAGATCACTAAGTGTCATTTCTGTCTCTGCTATCAGCATGGGTCTCTTTTGACAAGTTTTCCTGACACCCAGAGAAAAATGGTGACTGGGAGGGACCTCTAGCAGCGTGACAGCCTCATCTCTGTTCCTGTGTGCTGTGTGGAAGGGGTGGGGTGGGGGGGTGTCTCTTCCCTCCAATCAGCTCTCAGAGCTTTCCTTACTGAACTCTGAAGATTGTCATTTCAGCCCTCCGCCCCCTTTTTTCTGAACTTTCAGACAAGTTTTCTTAAATTCAGCACCTTGAATGGATGTAGAGAAGAGAATTCTTCAGATAAACAGGTACAACGTATATACAGAAGGATTTGTTTCATATCTGTGTATCACTAGAGGCCAGTCACTTCATTAAGTATATGTAAGGTTTAAAACCCACTTTAAAGCAAATTTACCTGTCCTTCCATGTCTTCATGCTTTATTTCAGTGAGAAATCACCCCTATTAGCATTTCTAGCTGTTGCCATCTTGAGTAAGGGCAAATGATTAATGTAGCATTTAGTTTCTGGAATCCATCTGCCCTCGGCTCAGGCATGCAGGCAGGTGGGTTTGCCTAGCTAAGAAAGCTCCTCCTCCAGATGGAAAAAAAAAATGCCCATGAAGACTCCTGGGATGTATGACTTCATTTTGGCCTAGGCCAGAAACCAGGAAGCGACAGAAGAAACGTTAAAAATAGAAAGTTTAAAACAAGTAATTATAATATACCTTCCTATCGATATACTAATGCTAGCAGCATAAGGATTTACCACAGTTCATTTTGATTGAGAGTCAAGTTCAACTTTAAAGATTTTCCTTTTCTTAAGGGCTATAAAACAGATACATAGCTGGATATAAGCATGAATTCCTATAATAGTTCAACTTACAGTATGAGTAATCAATTAATATGGAAATATAACAATATAACACAACTAAAATGAATATCTTGAAAAAACTAGTCCGTTTATAACTAACTATAAAAATAAATATGTTGGTTTTACCAACAAAATGCATTGGAAGTGGACAAAAGTAGATAAAAAAAAAAATGAACTAATGAAGAAATGTAAAGTAAATAAAGAACAGAGGATCAAACAAATTCCATAATACACATCTGTTACAGTATAATTGGCAACAGAGTCGTTTGATAACTCATTGTAATATATGCTAGAGAGTAAAAATGTAAATTGGATGAATCTGAATGGCGTCCTCCATTCCAGGAACTGTTGATTAGTCAAATCCAGCACTTCATCCAATAGAGTGTGTGGGGTCAAACCAGTTACGAAACGCTGTCTACATCTTAACCTCTTCACGCCGGCCACACGCAAATGTGCAGCCTCCCGGCATCTGGGCCTTGACGCCGAGCGGCCGCACATTTGCGTGCAATTAACAAAAAAAACATATGTGCTGAGAGTGCATGCCCTGCACGCTCCCAGCACACATGTCCAGTACTCACAGAAAGGTCCCGATCACCTCTTTCAATTGGGACTTTTTCCAGATCATGTGACCGCCATGACGGCGGATCACGGCGGTCACATGACCTTAAAACCCCACCCCTCCTCCTGGCTTCTGAAACCCATAAAGGGCCGGGAGGAGTTGGCTCCAAGGGGTTAAATTATGTGACAAGAGAGTGGGGCCAAGTCCCGCCGTCTGTGTCTATGGATGCAGGCAGTGGTGCTCGAGAGCGAGCCTGCACGAATGCCCCCATTGGAAGCTGCTTTCTATGATAATAGATGGCGCTATATAAATACTGTATAATAATAATATGAGGGCACTCGCTGAAGAGGAAGAACCAGAAGCACTAGGAGGGGGGACCCAAGAAGAAGAGGATCAGGGCTGCTCTGTGCAATATCATTGCACAGAGTAGGCAAGTATGACATGCCTATTATTTTAAAGTGCTTGTAAACCATTACATATAGCCAGTGAAGTGATTGGCCTCAGGAAATACACAGAAATAAAACAAATCCGTCTACATAAGTTGTACCTGTTTATCTGCAGTATTCTCTCCTACACATTCGTTTAAAGTGTGCAATTTATACAGTTTGACTGAGAGTTCAGGAAAAAGGGGATGAAATCATACTCTGTGGAGCTCAGTGAGGAGAGCTCTGAGAGCCGATTGGAGAGAAGGGACACACCCCCTTCACACAGCTCCCAGGAACAAATCTGAGGCTGTCAATCTGTTGGAGGTCCCTTCCCTGTCACAATTTTTTTCTTGGTGTCAGGAAAACTTGTCAGAAGTGACTAATGCTCTTAGTAGGGGAACAAAGCAGCAGACAGAAATTACACTTAACGCTCTTAATTGAGACAAATACACACTACAAAATAAAAAGAAACGTTTTTTGCTTCTTAGTGAGACAATATTAAAGTACAGGTACAGCAACCTAATGGTTTGAATACTAAATCAAAAATAAATTCTATTCTATACACAGGTGCTCTGCCTTATATGAGAATTGCTTCTCAAATATAACAAGAAAACATAAATTAAATTTTACATGTGTCACCAAGAATTAGTAGAAAGGGCATCCAGTGCATTCAAAATATTCAATATATAGTGCCTCAATTATTTCAATATAAACAAATATCTGTACATAGAAGTTTAAACAGTGTGCAAAGTGAATGTGTTCAGTCCGTAAATATCCAAATGCTTCCTGTGAGAAAGCTTTCCACCTTGCAAATGTGATCCGAGTGAATCCACCACCACAGATAATCATCCTCTTACCAAATAGATTGATCCAAACACAGAGATTAGAGGTCATATTGTTGGCCATTTGGAGAAATACCAGTGGTGGCCACCTTTACAGACAGCTAAAAAAGATCCTTGGTGTCCTGCACCTGGATCTGCCAAGTGGCGTTGGCCCTGGAACTATGCAGGCACCATCAAATGGGAGATCAAACAGCCACAGCTTAAGGTACCCCTAGAAACATCTGGAGGGAACCCTAGGGTTTTGGGTATCCATGGTTGAGAAAGGCTGCTCTAGGCAATGGTGGACAGTGGAAGAGCCATGCACAGATGGCCCCCACATTGTCTTACCTAAAGCTGGCCATAGACGGTTGGAATCTTGGCCAGTTCAGCAGGGCCCATGTATGGGCAGGCCAAATGTTGGAGTTTACATGTGATTATTACTAGAAAAGGGCTCAATCTATGGCCGGCTTTGCTAAGAAGATTCACCAGACCTTTCAAGTATGTATGGTGGTAATGTCATGCCTTCACGAAGCATTAGTAGCCTGTCAAAAGCCCTTAAACAATTTGAGATGTTTTTAGAATGGGTGCACATATGGCTAAATCCTTGGTGGAAACACATATTCAGACAATCACAAGGAATTTTTTTCCCCTTGAAACTTTATCCACATTCTCTTACATCATCCTCTTGGGAATTAAAAAATACCCACCATCACAAAAGGGTTAAAGCACACAAAGCCTTAACGTTTCTGTATATAGCATATGTGGAATGGCAATCAATTTTCCCGTGGGTCTATTTTTAACCTATACATTGTTTACATCTCAATAGCCAGGGAAGATTCCACTACCTCACACTGGATAATCTTACAGCGTATGAGTAAATGGAACACAAACAAAACAAAAGTATATGGATATAAAAATACGATCTACCCCCAGCAAAACCTAATACTGGAAAGAATGGGCTCAAAATTCCATGATACAAAGGCTCAGGTCCGCGTTGGCGTAATAGTATCATTTCCTTGAGAAGTTTGCCTGAACTTTTTCCTAGTATTATAGTGCACGGGGTGTCACGTGGCCTTTCCCAGCAGAAGGTTACATTCTTAACACAGATGAAGTTATTTCACATGAGATGATACAGCAAAATGTGTTCGATCAGATGATACAAGGTCAATACTATTTAAAGCAATTTTTCTCAATCTTTTTAACTCAGTGAACTCCCTGCTATTAATTTTTAAATTAACCTGAACAGTAGGTTGTAGATGTAAGAATAAATTAGAAATAAAAGACTGCTGAATGTAGTAAATCTGACAGCTAGGGCTACGCTATAAAGTGTTATTTTTCAGTAAAAATAATGAAAACAATAATAAAAATAGTCAGAAAGTAAGAGTATCATGAAACCTGTAGTGCTCCCTCACATTGATGTTCATTGGGAAAGTGGCCCCATACATTGATAGTCAGTGGAGAAGCTCTTCATTAGACTGGTGATCAGCGAAGAGCTCTAGTATACTGGGAAGAATGCTTCTTACATTGGTGGTCAGTGAGAAGAATGCTCCTTACATTGGTGGTCAGTGAAAAAAAACGCTCCTTACATTGGTGGTCATTTGGAAGAATTTCCTTACATTGGTGGTCAGTGGGAAGAATGCTCCTTATATTGGTGGCCAGTGGTAAGAATCTTCCCTTATATTGGTGGTTGGTGAGAAGAATGTCCCTTACATTGGTGGTCAGTGGGAAGAATGCTCCTTACATTGGTGGTCAGTGGGAAGAATGCTCCTTACATTGGTGGTCAGTGGGAAGAATGCTCCGTACACTGGTGGTCAGTGGGAAGAATGCTTCTTATATTGGTGGCCAGTGGTAAGAATGTTCCCTTATATTGGTGGTCTGTGCGAATAATGCCCCTTGCATTGGTGGTCAATGGGAAGAATGTCCCTTACATTGGTGGTTGGTGATAATAATTTTCTTACATTGGTGATCAGTGGGAAGAATGTCCCTTACATTGGGGATCAGTGGGAAGAATGTCTCTTACATTGGTGATCAGTGGGAAGAATGTTCCTTACATTGGTGATCAGTGGGAAGAATGTCCCTTACATTGGGGATTAGTGGGAAGAATGTCCCTTACATTGGTGATCAGTGGGAAGAATGCCCCTTACATTGGTGGTCAGTGGGAAGAATGCCCTTACATTGGTAATCAGTGGGAAGAATGCTCCTTACATTGGGATCAGTGGGAAGAATACTTCTTACATTGGTGGTCAGTGGGAAGAATGCTCCTTACATTGGTGATCAGTGGAAGAATGTCCCTTACATTGGCGATCAGTGGGAAGAATGTCCCTTACATTGGTGGTCAGTGGGAAGAATGTCCCTTACATTGGGGGTCAGTGTGAAGAAATGCTCCTTACATTGGGGGTCAGTGGGAAGAAATGTCCCTTACATTGGGGGTCAGTGTGGGAAGAATGTCCCTTACTCCTTACATTGGTGATCAGTGGGAAGAATGCTCCTTACATTGGGGGTCAGTGGGAAGAATGCCCCTTACATTGGTGGTCACTGGGAAGAATGCTCCTTACATTAGTGATCAGCAGGAAGAATGCTCCTTACTTTGGTTGTCAGAGGGAAGAATGCTCCATTCACTAATGTGGATATACTAAATATATAGCGGTGCGTAAATTGACGGCACTAAATAAGTACCTGTAAGAAATAAGATAAGATAAATGCCCTGGTGGTCAGTGGAAAGAATGCCCCTTACAACTTAAGGATCTATTCACACCTGGTGTGATGAGACTGTGTTGAGTGGCTATTCCAGTGCAGTCCCACCACATCCACATCACAAAAAAAGGCAGAATGCCTTGTCTCTGGTGTGGCCGGTTCACACCATTGCATTGTGGGTGGTGTGCAGGCGGTGTGCGCATAAAAAAAGTACTGCATGCAGTACTTTTTTTTCCAGAACAGAGCAGGTCTCCGCACGTTAGCCGATAGAATTCTATGATATGTCACTGTGTTAACAGTGCAATGTGCCGGTATCGGTGAATCAACATTGCGCTGGTCTAGCCAGACCGCATTGCACACCAGCTGCTGCATTTGCAAGGCAGAGGCTGGTGTGAATCGACCCTAAGACACAAACACTATGTAGCACTGCTAAGCAGTTGGAAACATCAACACGCACTGGTAAACTTATTTCCAACTATAGTCTCTTGTGACCGTGACAGCGCAGGAAATCAATTGGAAGACAGGGAGATAACATTTAAAATAATTATGGTAATCCTCAGCGCCCAGATGTCCAAATAGGATCCTTTGAGAAAGTCAGATGATGAAACGCGTCAAAAGAGACATCATATTGAAAGTGCCCAATTGGCCATCTTGGTTTCTGTTTTTTTAATCATTCAAATACATTGATATTGATTTGCTAAAACTGGAGAGTGCAAAATCTGGTGCAACTGTGCATGGTAGCCAATCAGCTTCTAACTTCAGCTTGTTCTATTAAACTTTGACAAAAATCCGGGAAGCTGATTGGTTTCTATGCAGAGCTGCACTCCAGTTTTAGTAAATCAACCCCATTGCGTGGAAGTGGAGAAGGAGGCTGATATTAGCAGAAGCAAGCCGATGACATGGGTGTTGATTCAGGGTAAGGTATATTGGCATGAGGATTGACGGATTGAGGATTGATGAGAGTGCACATGGTGATATGTTTTAAGCAGGGCTTTTTTTTTTCTCAGAGAATAGGCGCAGGAAACTCCCCCTCTAACTCACCCCTTCTCTCCCCTACGCAGCTCTGAGCACCATCCTTTGGTTTCACCCCTACTCACCTCCCAGTACCACCCTTTTTCAGACCCCCTCCCGCAACAATGGACCCCCACTACAAAATATCACCCGAACAACATTAGACCCCCTTCAGCAACAACAGATATCCCAGCAGCCAGCATTAATAGACCCCTGCCCCAGCAGCCAGCAACAGAAGACTTCTCCCTCAACAGTAGATCCCTCTCAGCAACAACTGACCCCCAGTAACATAAGACCCCCCCCCAGCAATGATATAATCCCCCCACCAGCAACAATATACCCCCATTCAAAAAAAAAGGATCCCCGCCAGTGACAATAGAACCCCCAGCATCCAGCATCAGTAGACCTTCCAGCATACCCCTGCACCCCTAGCTATTACATACACTCAGTGCTGGAGGTGCCGGGACTGCGTTCCCCCCCGTGTTCCCGCTGGAAAATAGCCCTGGTTCTAACACATTTAAGTACATATTGCATATGTGAGCACATTTGCTTATACACCTGTTCTATTGATATAATGGGATTGTACTGTATATATTTTGTTTGTGATACTTCACAAGGGTAGGAGAACGTTTGGGTGGAGAGGAGGAAGAAGGAATTAGATTGTAAGCTCCAAGGATCAGGACCCTCCTATCCCTCTTGTATTGAACTGTATTGTTGCTGTATTGTCTCCCGTTATATTGTAAAGCGCTGAGCAAACTGTTGGCGCCATATAAATCCTGTATTATAATAATAATATATATAAATCCTGTAATAATAATAATATATATAAATCCTGTATAATAATAAGGAAATTCACTGATGGAAGTTTGGAAGAAGTATTAGTTCATTATTATAAAGGGTATTTGGCATGTGGATGCAAAGGAGTGGAGAACATTAGGTGTGCGATATATGAGCACAATATTATAGGAGATCAGGGTCGGACTGACCATTCCGGCACTCGGGCACTGTCTGAGGGCCCGGGGTCAGTAGGGGGCCCCATGAGATGCCCCTGATACCTTTCATAGGCTTTTTTGGGTGTGGTTTGAGTGTTGACAAGGACACAGGGGCCCCATGATTTCCTATTGCCCGAGGGCGCCATGAGTTGTCAGTCCGCCTCTGTAGGAGATAATAATGACAGGGTGTATTTGGATGTACTGCACTATATTTTGGGGTGGACAGACTCTTGAAGTTTTCAAGGTGAATTCTTGAGAAGAAAAAAGGCAATACACGTTTGCTTGAGAAACGAGCTTTATTAGACCCTCACAAATGCTGGGTCATACACAGGGGTGGACTGACCATTTGGAAACTCGGGCACTGCCCGAGGGCCCGGAGTCAGTAGGGGCCCCATGAGATGCCCCTGGTACCTTTTTCATAGGATTTTTTGAGTTTGGGCAAGGAGACAGGGGCCCCATGATCCCCTATTGCCCGGGGGCCCCATGAGTTGTCAGTCCGCCCCTGGTCACACAGTCTTGTGAGAGTTTGAATTTGCTTTTAGAACCTGTATATTATTATTATTATACAGGATTTATATGGCGCCAACAGTTTGCTCAGCGCTTTACAATATAACGGGAGACAATACAGCAACAATACAGTTCAATACAAGAGGGATAGGAGGGCCCTGATCCTGGAGCTTACAATCTGGGAGGGAGGGGATATCTGCAAACATCAAGATAGTGTCAATTGACTACACAAGCTCTGGTCTAATGCAGGCCATAGAGGGGTTTATAATCGGCCATTTAAAAAAAAAAAAAGAAAAAATCGGTCGTTCGATCGGCCGACGTTACCACCAACGGTAAAAAAATCGGCTGATTTTCGTCCCTTCTATGGCCGGCATTTAACCCCATAATTACTTCTGTCCCTTGCAGAGACAGGGGAGCAATACATAAGAACAAAAGAAGAAGAAGAAGAAGAATTCCAGTCCGCTATTATATTTTATATGAAAAAGTGTTGTAGTTGCAACAATGTATCCATTTGTATCCATTTCGGATACAGATGTTTTTATTCGGATACAAATGGATACATTGTTGCAACCGCAAGACTTTTTCATATAAAATATAATAGCGGACTGGAATTCTTCTTCTTATTATTCTTTATTCTTATTCTTCTTTTTCTTCATCTCTTCTTCTTCTTCTTTTCTTCTTGTTCTTCTTTTTCTTCTTGCAGGTCACGGCTCATGTGCAGATGATTTTTTATCGTAAAAACGATCGGCCGATATGCCCATCATTGCTGGGAAAATTGGCCGCCAATGTTCCAACATGCCCAATAAAAAAAATGTGCATAAAGCCCGAAAAACGGCCGACCAATTAACCCACTAATGGTGCGAAAGTCGGCCGATTTTTTTTCCGGCCGAAAAAATCAACCGATTTTCGACCCGTCTATGGCCGGCATAATTTGTATAGGGACATTATGTTGTCACCCTGTGACAGGAAGTGCCTGTACAAGGAGCTTCATGGCACACCAGGAATGATTTCATAAGAGATGAATATTTAATTGAAAATTACGTTAGAAAAGTCCTTAACATGTTAAATCTCACATGAGATTATACTGATTGGATTTTCTTTAAGAATGCACAGTGAAGCCAAGCATGAATGGACCCTTACTACCATTGTTGGCTGTTATATAACAATGCAGCTTTCTTATCAGCCGTGTCACAAGGGTGGCTACAAAAAGGCATCCACTGGAAGCACAATACGGATACTTTGTATGCTATCTTCCCAAATGAAGCGCGTTCCATGCATGAGGGAGGGAGGAGAGCCCCACGGGTGACGCTTGCAGCGGGGCCAACTGCGTAAATTCAACCACATTATTTTGCAATGATTACAAATTATTATTGCTGTATACAGAAGCAGGAGATTTGTAGCCGGAGGAATCCTGGGAATGTGCTTTACACACAGATTATCCTGGGATGGAATGAAAGCAAAACACTGGAAAGGACTGAGAAAGGATGGAATCAGCAGGCCACACACACTCAACAACAACAACCCAAAAATTTAAACAAAAAATGATTGTTTACTGTAAGAAAGTTCTGTCGTTCTTTTTTTGTTAACAATATTTTGCAGCACTTGCCCACACCACATGTTTCCAACGTTCCCTTCATGAGCTTTGCAGGTGTAATGCTGTCCGAGGCGGCGGGTTCTGTGCGATTTTGGCATTTTGTTGGGTCTGGGTCTTTTTTCCTCTTTTTTTCTCCCTTCCCAGTGTTTTGGACAGTTTTATTTATTGACAACATTATCGATTCATTTTTGTTCGGTTTATCTTCATTTATATCAGTTTGGAAATTGTGTGTATGTGTATCCTGACTTATACTGTATTCATTTTTTTTAGCGTGTGTACATCCGCTAAAGAAATGAATACAGTATAAGTCAAGACACATTACACACAGTTTCCAAACTGATATAAATGAAAATAAACCGAACAAAAATTAATCAATAATGTTGTCAATAAATAAAACTGTCCAAAACACTGGGAAGGGAGAAAAAAAAGAGTCCAATATACTGATGTCCAGGGTCCTGAAGAAGCAGCATTGTTGGTGAAACGCGTAGTCTAAAATGATCACCTCCTCACCATCTGCTTTAACCCCTTGAATCCAACACCATCTTGGGGCAACCGCTTGCAGAATGGCCAGATTGACTTTAATGGGTTGCGTTTGGCAGGTGCTAAGCCCACTAAAAGCGACGGCGTATTTAATTTAACTGCAGCTTATTGCAGCTAAAGGCAGTAGCGGTTGGTAAAAGTGTGGCGCATCCATGGGGTTTTGTTGCCTAACACTGTGCTAGACTGCCTAAAACAATTCTGGGTAAACTTACTTGTGATGTGTAAAATAT